AGGCCAAGTAAAAAGACAAATTTGGTTGTTCAAACAAAATTATCGTATTTTTAAGTACGATCCCACTCTTTAGATCGTACATCGTAAAAAGACCTAAATTATCGTATTTGTACGAGCAAAATCGTACGGTTGGCAACACTGATACATGGTCAAGTCGTACCATATTAGGTTCAGAGGCTATCGGTTTGGTGGAAAGTTTAAGGTATCGTTTCGTGCGGGCCCCGGACCAGAGGGTAACGACCGCGACCAACCAAACCACGCGGATTAAAGGGGAGGTCGAGCTTCCATTCGAGTTAGAAAACAAGTCGCGAAAGATACGAGTGTACGCGTTGCCGACGCTCGCGCTACCGTGCATTCTCGGCATAGATTTCTTTCGGGCTTTCGGTTTAGTGATGGACTTCGTGCAGGGTACGTGGGGTTTCAAGAAAATTTTTCGCGACAGTACCCATTTGAGCAGGTATCGACACACTCCCTCGCGGCTTCGTTAGCCACGGGAGACACTGCGGGGGGGGGGGCACGACTCACGGGGAGGTAGGAACGAAAAACGAGTCTCTCCCGAAAACAGATGAAGCAGCGATCGCGTCGGATCTTGCGCCCATTGAAGAAAAGGTAAAATTAGCGTCGTGCGGTTTAAGCGAGCTGTCAGATAAAGAGGCCAAGCGGTTGGCAAAGTTTTTGAAAGCGGAGATTACGGGAGATCCGTCAAAACCCGGGGCAACCACGTTGACGGAGCATCGCATAGATGTCGGGGGCAGTAGGCCGATAAAGCAACGATACTATGCGGTATCGCCGAAAATACAAGAGGCAATCTACGCGGAGGTTGACAAAATGATAGAGGCCGAAATAATAGAGCCGTCGAAAAGCGAATGGTCAACGCCGATAGTCATGATTAAGAAACCTAACGGAACATATCGATTTTGTCTAGATTTTCGAAAATTGAATAGCGTATCGAAAAAAGACGCGTATCCATTACCATATATGAACGCAATACTAGACAAATTGAGATCGGCGCGTTACATATCGACTGTCGACTTGAGTCAAGCCTACTTCCAGATCCCGCTGGAAAAGGGCAGTAAAGAATATACGGCATTCACGGTTCCGGGAAAAGGACTCTACCATTTCACAAGGATGCCGTACGGTCTGACGGGAGCCCCCGCGACATTTCAGAGATTGCTAGATCGGTTGATAGGGCCCGAAATGGAACCCCATGCGTTCGCGTATCTCGACGACATCGTTGTCGTTACACAAACGTTTGACGAGCATCTCGCGTGGCTGAAGAGGGTATTCGAACGAATCCGAAAGGCGGGGCTTACTATCAACCCGGAAAAAAGCAAATTCTGTCGAGCGCAAGTAAAATATCTCGGTTTCCTCGTACAGAAAGAAGGCCTTACTGTCGATCCGGATAAAATGATCGCGATTTTAAATTATCCTCCGCCGAAAAACATTAAACAACTACGCCGCTTCATAGGGATGGCCTCGTGGTATAGGCGCTTTATACCGCAATGCGCCACGCGATTAGAGCCGGTGACCCGTCTTTTAAAGAAGGGCCGCTCTTGGGAATGGGGGGATGAGCAAAAGCAAGCTTTTGACTCAATTAAGCTTTGTCTAACGACTCCCCCTACGCTATCGTGTCCGGATTTCGGTCTTCCGTTCGTCGTACAGACGGACGCGAGCTCGGTTGGCTTGGGGGCGGTGTTAACACAGACTGTCGGAGGATCTGAGCACGTGATCGCGTTCGCGAGCCGCGCGCTGTCGGATCCCGAAAAAAAGTACTCCACGACAGAACAGGAGTGCCTTGCGGTGGTATGGGCAATTAAGAAGTTCCGCCCGTAGAGGGGTACGCGTTTAAAGTTATTACCGACCATAGCAGCCTACGGTGGCTGCATAACCTGAAGAATCCGACAGGCCGGTTAGCGCGATGGGCTCTAGAATTGCTTGAGTACGAGTACGAAATCGAACATCGGAAAGGGGCGATGCACCACGTGCCGGACGCGTTGTCGCGCATGTATGAATCCGACGAAGAACTTTGCGCTGCCGTAGTGACCGCGGACGAGTGGTACAATAGTCGCGTGGAGGCTATAACGAAACACCCGGAGAGACACTCGGACTGGCGCGTACGAGACGATGGTCTGTACTTCCGCAAGCCGCGCGCGATGTCGGAAGTAATCGGAGATCGAGACGAATGGAAACTCGTGTTGCCGCCGGAATCGCGTCGCGAGGCTATCCGCGAAAACCACGATCCCCCGCATGCTGGCCATCTCGGCGTCGACAAGACGTACCAACGCGTCGCGACGCGGTACCATTGGCCGCGAATGTTTCGGGATATTGCGAACTACGTGCGGCGGTGCGGCACGTGTCAGCGCACGAAAGTCGAGCAGGACGTGCCGGCCGGGTTGATGGGACGGCGCGTTATCGAGTCACCGTGGACGGTAGTCGCGGCGGACGTTATGGGACCGCTGCCGGTGAGCCGAACGGGGCACGCGTATCTACTGGTCTTGTAAGACTTATTTACCAAGTGGATCGAGTGCCGTCCGCTTCGCAAGGCTACCGGAAAGAACATTCGCGAAGCCATCAAAGATCTGGTTATTTTCCGCTGAGGCGCGCCGCGAGTACTGCTGACAGATAACGGTACCGAGTTCGTAAATCGGGAGCTGCGCGCGTTAACAGAGCAGTACGGGATTCATCACACGACGGTTCCGCCGTATCACCCCCAAGCCAACCCCGTCGAACGAGTTAATCGCGTCTTAAAAACAATGATAACGGCGTTTATCGAACGAGATCATCGCGACTGGGATCAACATGTAAGCGAGTTTCGTTTTGCGTACAATTCCGCGCACCACACGTCCCTGCAAGCAACGCCTGCCTTTCTGAATTTTGGGCGAGAACCGATACCGGTGGGTTGGAAACGCGATGAAGTCGAGGCCGCCGTAGACGTAGTCAGGGCCGACCCTGCCGGATGGCGAGACCGCATGGAGCGCCTCGAACTGCTGCAGGAATGGGTGGGCGAAAATCTCGAGACCGCCCAACAGAGGCAAGCCAAGTATTATAATCGGCACCACCGCGACCGACATTTCGCGGTCGGAGAGCAGGTCTTAAAGCGTCACCGAGTATTGTCGTCGGGAGCGCAGCATTTCTCGGCTAAGTTGACTAAGAAGTTTCACGGTCCGTTTGTCATAAGGCGCATTCTGTCGCCGGTCGTGTACGAACTCGCCGATTTGACGGGTAGCGTTGTCGGCAAGGTACACGTGAAGGACTTGAAACCGTACCTCGAGCCTGTGGATTAGTGGTTGTAAGTGTTTGTCTGTTTGTGTGTCGTGTGCGTTAGGGATGTGGGAGCCCGGGAAGCGTTACGAGCGTCTGCTCAGGCTCCTCAAAGAGAGCCAGGCGGAGCGGGAGCGGGCGTCGAGCGAAGGGGCAGCTGTGCAGGTGGAAGTTGCCGGAGTCGTCGTTAAAGGCGCGGCGGAGGCCCGCTGCGAAGTGGTGGCGCGGGCGCCTCGCGGAGAAACCGGTGGCCGTCAAGACCGAGCCCGGGATGAGAGCACGCCGCGAGGTGCCCAAGGAATACCCCGCACGGGCCTTTTACGAGGAGAGATGTTGGGCCTGTGGATCCCGCGAGCACTACCAGGACCGCTGCCCGAAGCGACGGCAAGTCGCCATACAGTACTGCTTCCGGTGTGGTGAGCCCGGCTATACCATCAAGACGTGCCCGTAGTGCGGGGAGGCCTGGTTGGCCCAGGGACCTTGGGCTCCCGGAAGGGGACACCCGGGACCAGACCCTCCTCGGCGGCCGAGCAAGAGGCCGGGCAGTCTACGGGACAGGGTCACCTGGCTGCCGAAAGGGGCCTTCCCAGACGAGAGCGATCAGTAGGGGGAAAACCGAGACGACGGAGGGCTAACACCTGTGGCTGCCGGACACCCCCCCCTGTTTTTTTTTCTTTCGAGTACAACGGGCGTCCCGAGAACCGCGACTTTTTCTTTTTTTCTCTAGTCTATCGTGCGCCCATTGCTTTCGTCTATCGTTTTGTTTTTTTGTTTGTTTTTTTGTGTGTGTGGGACGGTGCCGATTCACCGATAAGTTTTCTTTTCTTTTGTGATTGAGCCTCCTCTTTAATTTTTTTTGTTTTATCTTGTTCGTTCTCTTCGATTGAGCATTTTCTCTTTGTTTTGTCTATCTCGCTGAGCTGCGTCCTTTTTGTTTCAAGCGGACTTCCCGAAAAACCAATTTTTGTTGGCAACGGAGATCCTCTAAAGTGGGACTCGGGAAAATAAAGTTTTGTATCTTGCTAAACCGGAGTGGTGTTGTCTGCTTCCCCGAACCCCGATCCCTCTTTGCGAAACTGCGGACCTGCGCGCGAGGAACGAGAGGCGATTCCGCCGACAGGAAGTCGAGATCGGTCCGCGACGACCTCGGGGAGGCTCGAATAGACTACGGCCGTACAGTGAGGATTGAAGCGGAGGAGTAATTTTCTTACCTTCCCCCGCTTCGCTGATTTTTCTTTTGATTTTGTTCATCTTATTTTATTCGCTTGCTTTTGTTTTTTTTGTATTGTATGATCGTCCTGAGAAGGGACCCTCCCTTGGAAGGTTTCGGTCGCTCACGGCAACAATGTTAATCGCTTCCTCGACAGCCCGTGGCTCGAGAGGGATCGCTGAGCTGGCACGGTCTCTCTTGGCATGGGGGAGTTGTGACGCCGCAATCCGCTGCGGCGGAGCAGCGTCCCGCCGCCGTCACAAGGCGCGGGTTCGCGCCCCTTTTTACGGGACCGGCAGCTGCATTGTCGATAGGAGACCGAAATCTCCGGGAGGCCCGAAATCTCCGGGAGGCCCGAACTTGAAACGCGTGCATTTGATTAATTTGCTTTGAACCTCTTATATGTACCGCGGCACCTCACCGGACGAACGGGGCGACGGAGGAAAGGAGTCAAGGTCGCTGACAGCGGAAAGAGCTTGGAGTACGGGCGACCTGGCGCAGGAGCTACGGGGGCACGCACCGGGCACGCGGCGAGCACGCACGCGTGGAGCGCGTGGCCGCGCAAGGATGCTAGACCCGCCAGGAGCGCGACCGGGAAGGCGGGCGTTGGAACGGAGGCCCGCGAAGGGCGATACGGCCGGCGATTTCCCCAGGGCCCGGGGCCATCGCCGCGAGCTGCCGGGGCGAGATGGCCAACTCGCCTCGGAATACAAGGGCAAAGGACGAGCCCATATGAAACCACGCCGCCACATCCCGAATATGGGGCGACCTCGCGAGGGCGCGAGGCGCCCACACGTCAAGCCGCCTGATTACGCCCGTGCCACGGCAGGACCCCCGCGGCGCCGTGATTGGTCGCGGCCGACTGCGCCGCTGTGTTGCGCACCCCCGGGCTGGGGTGCAGGCATCGATCGCAAATTGAACGCGATCTACGCCGCTTTTGCGTGCGAACGACCGAGGCGAGCGTGCGGTCAAGCGGAGCGATCAAGCTAGCGAAAGAGAGAGAGAGCGAGAGAGTGCGTTGGCGAGAGCGAGGAGGAACGAGCCGCTGTCGGACCTGCTGCCAGGGAAGCAGAGACGAGGATCGTGCCGGTGAGGTGACCCTCTTTAGCGTGTGTAAAGCCACGGGCTGATCGAGAATCTGCTCGCACTCTGAGGACGTGAACGCCATTTTAGTGTCAGAGTCTCGTCGCGTGCGCCCCTTTAGCGACGCGTATCTTGTAGTGCTCTTTGGTTTGGCGTACCGGCGTCCGTCCTCAAGCGCGAGGATTCTCATCGAATCTGCCGTGAGCGATCGGGAGTGTCGCGAGTCGCGTATCGAGTCACCCGGGGATCGTCGTCGCGAGTTCGCCGCAAAGTTCTCGCGCCTGAGCGCGCGAGCGTTAGAGTAAGTGTGTGAGTACGCGGAATCACGAGTGTCGTGCGTCGCGCTGTAGTGTGACATTGCGCGCGATTTCGTTGCGTATCGGTGTAAGGCAATTCTCTGTCGGCTTCGTTTTTGTGTGCGTGTCCGACGCGTAAATTTACGATCGACTGTCGCGGAAATACTTGGAGTCGTTAGACCTCGGTACACGCGTCATACCGAGTCCAGTCCGTTATTGTACCATCGCGCCGACTAATTTTGACTGCGTTTCTTTTTGTTTCCGGCCGAATTTCATGCCTATTTCTTATCTTTTTCTGTCGTACGCGGGAATTCCTCGTGCCGTCGGGTTATCCGCGATTCATAGCGTCGAATCAGTCGCGTCACGTCCGTATTTTTCTCATCGAACTGTATTATCTTTTTTTTCTACACCGTTTCTCAACGCCCTTTTCGGCGGGTAATAAACAACTCCGTTATTATTTTTATTATTAACTTGGAGTAAGAATTCTTTCGCCCGCCTCGCGCCATCCCATCGCCCTTTTGCCTCGCCCTGCCCCTCTGCCGTTAGGCAGAGCCGGCCGGCCCTCG